TACCGTCTCAAGCCACTTTTGGAAGCAAAAGGGGGAAATCGTGATAATTATCCATGCCTGAAAAGAATACGCAATAAAATTACATTATCCCAGATAAATTGGGCCCTATAGCCACCCTATTTCTGATGTCTTGTGTGGTTCAGAAGTGGCCACATGCTGGCGTAGTTTTGCTGTCTGATACTTATCTTTGTGGGTATCTCAGAGTCTCCTTGTACACTTAGTCTTTTGAGAAAATAGGATTTACTTCTCTGACCTGCTCAAGCCAACTGAGATTAATGGAAGCCTTGAAAGTTATAAACAGTCTGAATTTCAGCCTAACTTTTGACCATTTTTCAAATACTTGTTCTCCATTTCTCCCATTACCAGAAAGCCAAGCCATTTTGGCTCCATAGGGTACCACTCAGAGTATAATTGAGGTTTGAATAAACAACACATGTGGCTTTTAAGGTTAAATGAATATTGTTTGACATACAGTACACCAGAGTTGTTTTTCATTTTGGTTTAAAAAATTGGTTAAAATTACATCTTGTTGCTTCTCGGAATTAACTACAATCCATCTGTCTCCATTAGAATCACTGGATTTTCTTTTTACACAAAAAACCTTGGCTGAAAGAAAAAGGCTCCATATCACTCAAGATAAATTGTCCAGTGAGTCAGGAAAAAAGGCAAAGTAATAGCTTTTTAGGGTATTTGCTGCCTATTTTTCTCGGGATATAATATCTAAGATTATAAATTGATATACTGTATGTATTTTTAGTTATATAGACATATGCCTTTTCAGTCTAAAAACTATTCATACCAATTCAAAGATCCTTTCAGACTATTTGTGGTTTAGATTAAATAAGGTAACTAAAATTTTAATTTTAGTCATTCTGATGACTTTGAAAGCTCAAAAGCAAAAGAAATACTAAGAGTTCTCAGTATTTATCTATTTTCATATAGTATATTATAAATTATTTATAACTTTAGTGCATATGCATACATCCATGTATATGTGTACGTACTTAGAAGGAATGGCTCAAGTAGATTTCAGTGAAGGAAAATAGTTACAATTTAGGTACTCATCTTTCTACAAGTGATCAGGTTTTCACATATAGGTTGTGACACATTCATCTGAACTTGGGTTCCAGGTGATTAATCTTCTATTGTCATGCTTGACACCACCTTGCCTCATTGGTTTGCCATTTTACCACTTTGTTTATTTGTAACAGGGACTGTATGCTTCTACACCTCCATGTTCTGACTGGCCTCCTTAATTAGAAGCGTCTTTAAAACTCCAGTGCCTAAATGCAATACATTGCACTTCTGAGAAGACCATGCTAATGAAGCACTTTCTGTTAATGCCAATCACAAAATCTTAAAAAAAAAGATACTTAATGAAAGGAGACGTTCTATGACTTTCATTTGTAATTTGTTTTCTCTTTGAGCTACTTAGATCCAAACAGAAGCCATATCCTTTGAATTTTGCACTTCATTTTGCCAATTGCTGGGGAATCTTTCTCTTTTCTAATCTGCTTTCTAGTCAATTTTCATTTGGCTTAAACCTACCATTGACAACTAACACAAGACAAGAGAATCTTAAGTTTCTTGGTCACTGTTAACATCATCCTGCAGTTCTTAAGATCTGGAGCTTAATGGCCATTTACATTGTTTTCTTCTCTGCTTTCAACCATGATTTAATCATCCAGCAGTCTTGCCATTTGCTTCATATTTTGTAGTAGTTTTTTTTTGGTTTTTGTTTTAGTTTTTGTCTTTTACCTAGGTGATCTATCACTTATCACCACAGCTGTCTCCTGCTTAGCCTCACAGCTTCCAGTTGTTATCTGGCTACTCTACATTCTGTTGCCAGAAAGAAGCTTCCATAAATACCATATAGACCCCCTACATCAAAATTGGTAACAGAATCACTTGCAAATTCTTCTGCCTGTTTTTGAAGTCCAGAGGGTATTCCTATTCCTGTTTACCTTAACAGCTCATTCACTCACTCTTCCTTCTCTTCCTTCCTCTCCCCCCTCTCCTCCTCCCTCCCTCTCTCTCCTCATGAAATTACTAGCCCCAATTCTCTTTTTTCTACATCTGAAGTTGTTCATCAAGCCACATCTTGCTTTCTGCCTCCAGAGTGTGACTTGTTTCCAAAGCTCTGGGTCTTAACAAATGCCGCTTCCTTCCATTCAGATTTTCTCTGCTCACATCACTGTCTGCTTATCCTGTAGCATCTATCTCTAAAAATGGCACTCAGTTCTCTTAGGAATCTCCCCATGATTACATCTGACTGCATACTTCTCCCATTCAGTATCTCCTAAGCATGCATATTCCATTTGTATTTTGAAGTGTTGATCTGCATATATTCTTATGTTTGAAATATGATTTTTGTTATACCACCGCCAGGGAGCAAATATTCTGAGTTCAGGAGTCCAGTCTTGTTTTCGCTCTTCTTACTGTATCATATCAGTGTTATTAAATACCAAGATGCATTCAGATACATTTTTAATTTTGAAGTACTGAGCCTGAACACGAGATCTTATGCTTGCTTGGCAAGTGGCTCTACTGTATTTAGCTACATCCTAGCATTATTTCCTAGTCACAGCCAAAGAAGAAATAATCCTCCCTCTTTTAGTAGTCAGAGTTCCCATAGGTATTCATGCATCTTCCCTCAGGTGCAGAATAAACAGAAAGAGGAGAGGGTACTGGCTGAATACTTTATTCTGTATTTTAATGTAGTTTAATTTAGTATATGTATTGAACACCTGATATGTATTCAGCAATCTGCCAAGTGGCCCAACCCAATTATTCCCAAACTTCTCTGTTCATTAAAAACCCCTGGAGAGCTCATCAATCCCATACAAGTAGTCTTCCTCTCAGAGTTTGTGATTTAGTAGGTCAAGGGTAGAGTTTGAAATTTTGCAAGTCTAACAAATTCCCAGATGATACTAATGCTGTTATTTATGGGCCATATTTTTAGAAATAGTTATTGAAAAGATACAAAGGTAGTCTAAGACATAGTCTCTCATTTCAGGGGATTTTTCAGTCTGTCCAGGTAGATAAACAGGCTAATAACAATCATTTAACAGCAGAAAATATAATGTCTTACTTTTCATTCATTTATCAAATATGCCCATCACTGTTCTAAGTACTGGGTTACAACAGTGAATAGAACAGACAAAAACTTTTGTTTTTTTGGTGGAAATTGTGTATTAGAGGGAAGCAGCCAATGAAAAAATAAGTAAAGCATAAAAATATAAGCTAATGATATGTGCTGAGGGATAAAATCAGAAAGGAAAAAAGAAATATTAAAGGAGAGCTGAAATTTTATAGGATGGTCAGATGTTCCCAATTCCATCTTTGGTAAATAGTTATCAAGTAACTACTATGTGTTGAGAACTGTTATAAATGATGATGATATAGTCATGAATAACACAAAGAATAAACGTTGCCCATACAATATGGACACATTTGTTTGGGAACCAAGAAACCTGGATTTTTTGGTGTTAATCTTCACATGCTTATTTTTTGTATTAATATATTTAGTTATTTTTTAATTGTCAAGGTGTACAGTGGGGTTACAGTTACATAGGTAGGGTAATGAGTACATTTCTTGTCATTTGACTATGAATAGCTACTTTCCTTCCAAGGGCCTCAGTTTCTCCATCTGTTCAGTGGAACAGTTAGACAAAGTTATGCCTAAAGTTTTCTACATTTTAAGGCTATGGGATACTAAATCCTTTAGGCCATCAGAAAGAAGAGTGTTTGGGGAATACTTCTAAGGAAAGAAAACTCTAAATTACCTAGAGGTAATTTCAAAAGAAAAATATCATATGCTGAAGCAAGGAAGCAATAATGGGGGCTCAGTGCAGAGAAAGGAGAGCAATGGGTTCATAATCAAACTGCTGTTTTAAGATTAACCTACTAATCATAATTACACCCGTCAAACTCCTCATTCAAAGATGCTCTTTGAGTCATGAAGAGTTAAAGCCATGCTTTGTTATAAGTAGCTGTCCCATTCAAATATTGCTATCAAGCTAATTTCAAATGTTTTCAAGCCCTAAAAGATAATGGTATTATGTAATAATCCCCTAAAGTTATTAACACATGCTTGAACTAGTAACATGTTACTATTTAGTTTTATGTATTTGAAAGTTTGGAAGATCTATTGAAGTGGAAAACACTTTATTCTTTCATAGCTCATAAAATATCTAGTTGAATGTTGTGTTTATCTGCAGAGAGAGAGAGAGAGATTAAATAGTATTCATTTTGAGTGCTGCATATATCTCAAAGACCAGGCTTCTTTTCCCCTCTGCTTGCTTGAACATAGGTAACAAAATGGTCTTGGAAAGTATCCTATTGTTCTTGGGTTTTAATCGGCTAAGAAATATCCATAAGTCTGTTCTGTGTTTCTTACTCCAAAGGTTTCACATAGAATCTTCCTTTTAAAAGATTCTGGAAGACAGCAGTTTGCTGTCTGAAGAGTGGGTGATATAGACCTAAAAAGGGGTGTGTCAGGCAAGAATAACAGTGAATATCTTGGATATTTGTGGAGAGCTTTACCTTTACTATTAGATCAGGTCATAACATCTCAGAGATATCATAGTGAACATAACAAATAGTGACAAATCAAATCCTCAAAATTCATTGTTTAATGATACTTTTAAACATGAGTTAAATATGATCTGCAAAATAATTAACTGTCACCAGAATAAAATAATCAAAAATGACAATGATTATTAAGGTGAGAAGTGATTATTTCCCCCTTTATATTTCACATTCTGGATAATGTTACCAGATGATCTGTTGAGAAAGTGAGAAGTTTCTTCAGAGTTATTTTGAAGCCTGATGCCCACCTAGAGATTTAGTCAGAGCTGTTTCTTGAAGGGCAGCCACAAGAGATAAGGCATCTTGAGAATTTTAGAATCACAGTTCCAAAAATGTGGCTGGATCATAAGGGTGATAGTTTTCCCTTCTATGTATGTATGATTCTTTCTTTATTCCTTTTTAATAAACAGGAGATGGAGAATTATCGTGGGAACATTCTGATGGTGATATCTTCCGGCAACCTGCCAACAGAGAAGCTGTAAGTGTGAATAGCTCAAATAATTCAGCACTCCACAGCATCAGGCCAAGCTTTCTTCTTCCCATGGCTACTATCCCAGCAAATCCAAAAAAGGGCCCATTTTTCTTTCCCTTAATCAGAAAGTTAAATGACATCATCACTAACCTATAACCATTTAAATGCTCTCCATAATTGGTAAATAGGACAGGAATACACACACACACATACACACACACACACACACACACACACACACTAACTGTAGCCTTTCATGTAGATGATTTGCCAAATCTTTGTCTTCTGTAAGGAATACCTTTTTGTGCAATTGTGCTACTCTTTAGGTAACATTTGATTGACACCTTGGACATGTCCACATGTTTCTCATAACCTTTAAAGCTCTTTGGTCATGTTGTGATTAGGTTATTTTCCCTTCATTCTGCTATATCTCAGTTCTGTAGAAGCATAAATCTCAGAATAAGCTTGATGTATGGCCATATTGCTACTTACAGTAGTAGTGAGTTTTGTTCCTTTGTATCTTGAAGTAATAAACATAACAGAACCCCACTTTAAAAGCACATACCTAAGAAGAGTTATTCTTCAAATATGTTAGAGTATGAAAAGGAATTGTCCCATTTCAACGAAAGAAAAATATTAAAGGACTTAGGAAATATTCACTATGTTCAAAAGTGTTTGCTGTTCATAAACAGGTGTTCATTGTACACTTATTTACAGAAGCTTTGTTAAATATACCAAATCTATAAGACCTTTTGCAGTTGTTGAAACTTTGTGTGCATATATATGTGTATGTGTGTGAATGTATGTGTGCGAATGTGTGTGTGTATATACACATAATCTAGTAGGTCACATACCATTGTGTTAAGAATGGTAATCTTGGAGTGGTAGAAATGGACAAGAGGAAACTTTACTTTCTCTTGTATTATTTGATGTTTGTATTGACTTTACTTTCTCTTGTATTATTTGATGTTTTTCCATGAACCTGAGTTCATTTTATGATAAGTAAAATTAAAGTGATTTTGTAAAGCCTTAGGAACAAATTTTCAGCAAATATTGAAGATAAGATAGGGCTTGAGAAATTATAAAGCAGGCCTCAGGATAGTGAAGATGTGAGGAAGGGGTTCATAGGGCTTGTGATTGAGTAATTTAGACATGACAGTGCTGCTTAGACTTGGCTTCCCAATCATCACTTGGGCCAGTCTGGCCTGCATACCCACTGCTTGCCAACACCCAGCCAAAGCTTCACGGGATGAAGTACTTCCTATTTGCCTTAGTTACTAGTAGTATTGCTTTTTAGACGTTGCTTTTTCTAAATGAATGTAGGAGGATTGTGTGTGGAGTAGACACTAGTATCCTGAATGAACATCTCACAATAACAGATCCATCACATAAGAGACATGTACATCTCATTTGCTGGTTAATATAGACACTGAGGGAAGATTTTCTCCATTCAACTTTGTCTAATTTATAGTGGGATTACTTCCAGGTCCTGACAGGTGATTATATCAGTCTTAGTTTTCTGTAGCATGAGTTTCTTCTTTTGCTCAGCCCCAGCTTGTCATTGTGGTGATGGTGTATAAGAATTTGACAGTGGCTAAATTAGTGGTTGTCAATTAGCTGTGATTCCCAAGAAAATTTAGATCTCAATCGCTTTAAGATATTTGGCCTCCATAGTAAGCACTATGCTACCTCAGAGATCTTGCTGGTAATACCAGTAAGTAGCCTTTCTTCTTGACTTAATTTTATGCTGCCCACAAACCTCATCTCTAGACTTACAGCTCTATTATTCTTTCTAAACTATCCATGGGGAAGGACTTACTTGAAGACTTTTGTAGCAAAAGACATTAGGTACACAATACAGGACCTTGAGATAGTGATTGATTTTCAAAGGACTCCGAAAATCCTATCTTTAGAAACAAACATTTGGGACTGGTGGACCAAAATGACCAGATGGTTTCACTTTATTGTAAGTAAATGTTTTCCTTTGTTCTGAAAAGGATAGATATTGTGGGATATGGTTTGAATAATACATACCATCTGTAGTCAAGGAAAAATATGTACCTGGCACATAGTAGGCACCCAATAAATAAATACATGTTGAATGAATGGGCATAGAATATGCAGTAAAGTATGTGTGGGGATAGAGGTTAGGGGGAGTTTTCTATTAGTTTTAATAACAAGAGTTTTTTCAGGAAGAAATTCTTCAGTTTTCTTTTTTAATAAGTTTTTTTATTGTGATAATACTGTACAGAGGGGTTACAGTTACATGAGCAAGACAATGAGTACATTTCTTATCAAGCATTGTTGCCTTCTCCTTTGTTTTTCCCCTACTTTCCCTTCCCTCCCACCTCCTCAACTACACTCCCCCATCCCCACCTAAATTGTAAAAGTTCAATTTTTTGTTTCCTGAAAAGTCTAAAGTGAGAAGATAAAAAGAGAATCCCTTCTAAATACTCTTTTTGGGCTTAACTTCTACATGGGAATAAGAGTCAGACCTTATCCACTAGTCTGTTCCTATTTGCAAGAAATATTTAAAACTCCACTTCTACAGAAACATAACTGATTGGTGTATTTTGCCAAGTGGGATGAATGCTATCAGCTTACTAATTTTGTAAAGCAAATAAGAAAGAGAAACAATGGCCTAATTGTATCACCTTTGTATTAACCTAAGACATTTTAATTTCCAGGTCATAATTCCACACACAAATCATTCCTTGTGTGTGTGTGTGTGTGTGTGTGTGTGTGTGTGTGTGTGTGTGTGTGTAAAAGCTAAGCAAGCATGGAAATAAGCATACATGATTTTGTTTGGGACAACAACCAGGTTCTGATATTTTTCCCCGACCCCAGTAAATTACATTGAATTTAACCATTAGAGAAATGAAAGAGTCTGAGATTGAAACACATGAAAAAGTTTTAAAGGTTCATGTCTTATTCATGCTGTCAGAATAGTGGTTTGGGAAAGAAACTTGCTTTAAAAGTCTTCCAACCAGTGATAGCTACATCTTAGTAGTGATTAATGTTTTCATGGCTGCCTGGATGAGAACTGATTCTGAAGGTGCAAATGAAACTTCTTTCTGCAATGCTAAGGGTGGATCTTAAGGCCTTTTGCATGCTAGTCAAACACTCTAGCACTCAGCTACATGCCTAGCCCTTAAACTTTTTAAATTTTGAGATAACTCTAGATTCACTTGGAATTTTAAAAAATATTAAAAAGATTCTTATGCCCTTTCTTTGCCCAGTCTCTCCAATGCCAACATCTTGTGAATTCATAATACAATATTATAATCATTAAAGGCCCTTTTATAGCTCTTGCCATACTCTGGTTTCCAATTTCTGCCAATAAAATCCTTAAACCTTTTTGAAAAAGATAATTGATATGAAAATTGAAAAGTTATACTTATTAATGAGGTACATGTGATGTTTCAAAAAGTCTGTATTCCGTCATATTAAATATACCTATCACTTATCATTTTTAATGTAAACTTTCAAAATTTTTCTCTGGCTTTATGAAATATACAGTTCATGAACGTTATCTATAATCAACCTGCAGTGCAAGACTCTACCAACAATTTTTGTTCATATCTAACTTGGTAGCCATTGACTAACTTTTCCCATTCTCTCCCTCCCTGTATACTAACAGACTCTGATAACCACTATTCTTCTCTCAATTTCTATGGCATTGACTTTTTAAAATTCTGCACATGAGAAAGGACACACAAACCCTTATATCTTAAACCTGAGAACAAATAAGGAAGTAGTATATACATTGGAGAGGATGTTTTAATATATTTTTGGAGAGGTTTTTTGACAATAGAAAAGCAATATTTGTAGAACCACCTTAAAGGCCTGAAATATTTTTCAGGCCTTTAAGACAGAAAATTATGAATTGCAAAACAATGAACAAAACAAAATACAGCATAGCATTCTGGTCATTTCTAAGAAACTGATTTTGACCTGTACTCTCAAGTAGCCTATTTGCAACTAGTTTTTAAGATAGCTTTAATTTCACATTCAAAAAGTTGGCTACAATCTCTTGCTCAAAGTTTTAAACTCAAAATGGCTCCTGATAAGTCTTTCTTATTTGTTTAGTGGTAATGACTCAAAAAGTCATTATCCCCAAATCAAAATCACACACCATCATATCCCACTCCTCAAACAGAAGATCATTGATATCAGTGATTTTCCATGTTGGCTTTAAATTACAGACATCTGGAGAATAGAGAAAATCCTGATGCCCAGATTTCTTCCCATACCAATTACATCAGAATCTCTAAGAATAGGACCCAGTTATTAGCTTTGTGATGGCTCCCAAGATGATTATCATGAGTAGCACAATGGAGAGCCAGTAGTATATAATGCTTTAGCTGAGAGAACTTTTATGTCTAAAAAAATAACCCTTCAAAGCAGCTTTCAGCCAAGTGTTTGTAGATCACTCTTTCTGCTCTTCCTCTTCTTTCTTTCTCACATCCCTTACTACTCAGTGTCTCCCCAAACTCAACCTTCATTGCCTTTTGAATAAAGTACTTCTCCCATCTGGTCTTATTTTCTAACTCTGTACAACAAAGATTGACAAGGTAACGTCCTGAGATGGTGCTCAGCTGTGGCAGGGGGGCACTAATCTACAGTACAGCCTCTTATCAAAACCCCTAAGGCTTTTGTTTTTATTTTTAATTTTTTGTCTTGAATCATTTTCCAAAATACCAGTTCCTGGTGCTGAAGAACAGCTTTTCATTTTGTGCTCACCATCATGAATCAGAGAACTTCTTGTACTTGCAACTTATCCTGGGTCAGTGACTCTAATTCTGTCCCTTTCAACATCAATGGGACACCCACCAGGCAAACTATCTTTTCTGTGTTCCTTTGGAAAACTTCACCAAACTCCAGAAAGGACAGAACAATCTGTAATGGCCTGTGTGGAATGTGAGTGCTTATGGCAGAAAAAAAGACATCTGAGCCATTGTGGGAATGAGAAATATTTGTACTGAGAATCTTGTCCATATGCACTTTAAAAAAATGAGGAAAATTGTATTTGTGTGAATTCTTATGGCAGTGCACCAGGAAGGGCATATAGAGAATGTTTTCTTTCAAAAGACTAAAAAAGGTCTACTTATTCCAGCTTCTATTCACTCTCCTTCCTCCAGAGAGAGCAATATTAGCTCTCAAAGCTAAATTTGCAACATGTGCAACTATGATACATAACGTTAATAAATGTTTGACTCTTTTTCAAATGTTCTCTACTATTTCTGTCACTAAATATAAGAACCTTCCAATTTCCTATGAAAATTTATAATGGATTTCCCCTCTTCACCCCTAACAGTTACCCCCTAAAACAGTTAACATTCTTTTGCTTTTCCCATTCACTTCATCCTCTTCTATCAGGAATCTACTTCAGCTTTTACAAGAGAGGTAGGGAGCAGAATGGTTTGTTGATTTAGGTGTCTTGAACCCTTGCTGAAAGAATAATGCCTTATTTATACTGCAAATTTTTTAGCTTTCCTTTGAGATGGCAGTTTCATTGATTTAACAATTATTAATGAGACTCTTGTACATGTTAGGGACTCTTCTTTGCACTGAGAATAGAGCAGAGAACAGTACAAATGCCAGGGCTCTTTGGAGATTATAGCATAGTACTGTTATTTCCTTCCTATGCAATAGTTACCTATGGAATGCTTACTTACGATTTTATACCATTGCCAGTATTTACAGTTCATCTTGTCAATACTATACTTGACACTTGACTCTCTTCTTTTCCTCTTCTCCAGTTCGCCCTAGACACCATAAGGGTTCAGTACTTTGAAAGAGTCCTGATTAGGTCTCTATTATTAAAAAAATCTCCCACATACCCACTTCTTTGGCTTACCAAATAAAGTGTTCACTCCTTAGCTTGTCATGTAAAGTCTTCCATGATCTGGCTCTAACCCTCTTTTGGAATGTTATCCCTCAACTGTTCCCTTTTATGGACTCTATGTTCTCTGCTACACCTTCTCAGCTTGGAAACCTCTGCTTGGAATATTTCCCACAAAATGCCTGTAAAAAGCATACCCACTTTTCACAGCCCAGGCCACCATCCCTCTCTGATTAGCAGCTCTCTTTCTTCTCCTGATTTACACAACATTTGAAATTTCTCCTGTGTACTCTGTCACCTTCAGCCTTGTGTGGTAGACTGCTGTCTAAATTCTTAGAAAGTATGAGAGTCTGAGAGCAAGAAGCACACTTTTGCCTTTCTAGTTATTTTCTTCCTGAGGAGTTTGACTATGAATCTTTTCATCAAGGGAAGAGAAAAGCCTCAGCAAGTTACAGTGCTGCCTTCACATGTTTACATCCTTATTTCCATTGGTGTAAGGATGTGATAAGGTGGAAATGCAGTTAGAATCAGAGTTCATCTTTTTTTATCTTTATTTTATTGTAAAGATGCTGTATAGAGGGGTTACAGTTAATGAGTATATTTCTATTCAAGCATTGTTTCCCCCTCCTTTGTTTTTCTCCTGAGTTCATCTTTTTTAAAAATCAAAATTATCAAAGAAACCAGTAACTTTAAATGTATGTAACTCAACCTCTGTCATCTAATTGTTGGATATTTGGTCTGAATTTGATCTTGTCCTCTTCTAGAGACATTCTTATCCCCGTTCTCATTATGATCCCCCACCAAGTCGACAAGCTGGAGGTCTGCCTCGCTTCCCTGGGGCCAGAAGTCACCGGGGAGCTCTTATAGATTCTCAGCAAGCATCGGGGACTATTGTGCAGATTGTCATCAATAACAAACATAAACACGGACAAGGTAAGAAGTGTCTTTTTGTCCTCCTCAGGACCACAGCATCCCAGGTCTTGGGAGGGCTGATGTTGAAAATGTACCCTTTCCCCTACATATAGTGCATATTGACATCTGCATCACTCAAGGTCAAGTGTACAAAGTGGGTATGAACAAATAACTCCAGGGGACTTTTAAGACCTCCTTTGGCTAAATACTCAACCACCACCCCCTTTGTGTTTATGAAGCACCCACCAGCACTTTTTCCCTTATCCCTCAGGGCTGTAGGTCATTTGGTAAAATTTCTTGAGTTTTTTAGCAAGTCAGACACCTCAAATTAAAAAGTACCATGCCAAATATTTCTGAAGTGTCTATGTATACCTATGTCTTTCTCACCCTTCAGGCACTTCAGATTCTCTTGGAGTTCTTGTTAGATATCTCTGTCCTCATGTATAGATTATAGTTCACTGTGTAGCAAATGAGAGTATCTTTAACAATAAGAAGTCCAGCTAGAAATCCAGAAAACAGTTGGCCATGCACCAGGACAATGATCAGGTTAGCACTGACCTTTAGCCCATTCCGCTCATGGGCAGGCTGCAATAAGCATCTCACACACATCCGTGGCCCAATTTTCTCCTCCATACAACTGTGGCCTCCACCTTTTCAACCCTGGAAGCAGAGGTGAGAGGAGAAGGGAATTCAATGAAATAATGGACTACTACTTATTTTTTAGACACTGTCCATCAGCTCTTTGATACAAGAGCTTAGCTGGTTCCTTTTTTATGAAACCATAAACAAGTTTTGTTTACTTTAGAGAGAAAAAACAAATCAGGGCAGTTTTCTAAATGGGTTAAAAATAATAAATTATTAAACCATATGATTGAATAACAGGGCTGAAAAACAATCTGTTACAAAGAACTCCTACTATAAATTTCAACAAATTTTGTCAAGCCAAAGCTAGTTGATCACATCTGTTACTAGTTAGATGTAAATTTCAGATTACAGATTTAAAAAAATGAAATTGCTTTTGAAACCTACAGGCTTAAAAGAAGATTCTAAACATAACTTAATGAAGTGGTATATTAAAGCCATTAAAATATTATTGATTTGTTGGATTTGAAATTTATTATTTTTAAATTCCAAGGCTTTCTGACACAAGTTCATGAAATAAAGAAATAAAGAGGAACTAGTTAAAAGATTCAATTTTACAATTTGAAATTACCCACAATATATCCCATTTAATCAGAAAAGTATTTCAAAACTTTAAAAAGAGTGGTGAAATGGATTTTGAAAATCCTAAATCCCATCATTTCCATAAAGGCATCTTCATTTCCAGGGGAAACTCTCATCCTTCAATGTTTCCATATCCTACAAGAGCTCCAGCTGAAACCACTTATTCATCTTCCTTATTGATCTGGATGCAGCACTTCCTTTCTGACATTTATATCATATCATTTATATCGGACATATATCATTTATATCCTTGTCTCCACTCCAACTCCACAGCTATATGATTCAAAATCATGTTAAGAATTTGTAAAGAATTGACTTTACCATATTCCACTGCAGAGTGTGGGCTCTACCTAATCTGGATGCTTCCCTTATTCCAAAGGCTTTGAGGGGAGAGAGAAAGTAGATGTATAACATTATGATTCCTGCCTTCCATGTCCCAACATGGCTCACCTTTATTCTCATATTCCTTCCAATGATATGGTCCATCTTTTGGCTCCTTGTTAAAGTCAAAGAGCAATAGGATTCTACCTTTTTGAAGCTGAATCCAGCCCAAATTTTCCTGAAGCAGACTATGGGCCCACTTGATCACATTGACTAGAAGGGAGTGTTACTGTCTGAGGAGAAGAGTAAACAACATATTTGACCTGTTTTATGTGATCCTGCCCACAGTTTTGAATCTCACAGTGTTAATATCTCTTCTGACTCATTAAGACTGGGAGCCTTTCCAGTCTAGGTTCTTGGAAATCTTTACATGAACTGATCTGTTAAGACTGTCCAGTACTTTAGCAGCTCTTGAAAAGGACAGTAAAAGAAAGCCAATATCATTCATAGTTCTTAATACTACCCAGTGGACTTGATGAGAAAGAAATAGCCCAGTGAGTCATCGTGAGCCTGTTGTCTTGCAGCCAAATCAGTTTATTCCTAAAAACGCCCCAAGTGGAGCTACTTCATCCACCCAGCCCTGCCTAAACCAATATATCCTACCATAGAAATGTTGTTGATTGGGATGCCTGGGATGCCAACAGGTCTCCTTATGTGTGATGAGGTGATATTAATAAATATGTTAACAATAAATATGTTAATAAGTGATAACTATACCCAGACCTGATCAGGGCTTGAAATATCCATAGTCTGAGCACTCTCAAAAAGGGAAAAATTTATTGTTAGTCTTCCCCATTCATAGCTCTGCACGTTTGTTATCCCATAATCTATTTCTGTGTCTTAAAATAGGAGCCTAATAAGTTTTAGACTGATTTATATGAAAAGGTGCCCTTCACCTTCATAGGCCACGGGCCTGCAGTCCAGATGTTTGGTCTTTCAAAGCCCCGAGAAAAGACTTCCTAATCAACAAATGCAGAGTTCCAAAAGATAACTGTGGAGCAATCAATGATTCACTATAGCAAAATAATCTACTAACATGACAAGGTAGGAGAGTATATAAATGGCCTGAAGATTAGAGGCATGAAAGGCTAGCCCTTGACAAGTTACTAAAGAGTCACAGGTCCCTTGCCTCTCAGTCTTGTCTTAGCACCTCCCTGAGGACACCAGAAAGCAGGCCAACAGCATTAAGTTCCCCTGTATAATTGTGCAGGTGGATCAGTCCCAGAGCATTTAACATTCTAAACAGATTTGTTTCAGCATTTGAGATTGGCCATTTGGAAAGAGCAGTAGATTTTGCTTCTAGACTTACTAGATAGAATGTCTGTCTAGGAAGTTTTCATGGATGCATAGGAGTATATCTTTTTGGCCTGGGTTTCTAGCTTTTTCACTCAAAGCTAGTGCTCTGCCACTTTGAGCTACAGCCCACTTCCAGTTTTCTAGTGGTTAATTGGAGATAAGAATCATAGACTTTCCTGCCCAGGCTTGCTTTGAATTTCAGTCCTCAGATCTTAGCCTCCTGAGTAGCTAGGATTACAGGTATAAGCCACTGGCACCTGGCTGTATATGAACTTTTATGGCATTGAAGATAATGAAATTGCTAAATTCTACTAGAGATATTCTTTATCAGGTGCTCAGAACAGACAGAACTCTACTTTCTGTGGTTTCTTTTATTATCATTTTGTTGTTGTTATTATTACTTGCCAGTACTGAGGCTTGAACTCAGGGCCCCAGACTGTCCCTTAGCTTGTCTTCTCAAGACTGATGCTCAAATAGTTGAGCCACACCTTCACTTCTGGCTTTTTGGTGGTAAATTGGAGATAAGACTTTCACTGACTTTTCTGCCGAGGCTGGCTTCCTTAGATCTCAGCTTCCTGACTAGCTAGCATAACTGATATGAGCCACCAGCACCAGGCTTTGTTTCTATTTTGTTGGTGGCTTTAATATTGAGTCCAGGGCCTCATACATTCTAGGCAAGCAGTCAGCCACTTGAGATTTTACCTGGTCCTGTTTTTAGTTTACTAGATTTGAATTCTGGATCTTCTTATCTCCACCTTCCAAGGAGTTGGGGTTACAGGTGTGCACTGCTACTCCTGGGATTAGAATTACAGTTTTACATGCACCTCTATATACATGACAAAAACAAAGGCAATTAAGCATCCAAGGCTTGGATTCTAAGCATAGAAAGCCATCTTAGCTCTGTTGCCATTAATCCTGTATTCTCTTGCAGTCTGTGTTTCCAATGGAAAGACCTATTCCCATGGCGAGTCCTGGCATCCAAATCTCCGGGCATTTGGCATTGTAGAGTGTGTACTATGCACTTGTAATGTCACCAAGCAAGAGTGTAAGAAAATCCACTGCCCCAGCCGATATCCCTGCAAGTATCCTCAAAAAATAGATGGAAAGTGCTGCAAGGTGTGTCCAGGTAAAAAGACAAAAGGTGCGTTGGTTGGAGGCCCTGCCTTTAGTTGATTGACCTAGTCCTCAACTTTATTTGGTTATGAGAAACATAACTGATCTTTGATTGAAATAACACTTCTTACAAGAATTCATGTCATTCTTTCCTCTCTTGAGTGATTTATAAGTGATTTATGGCTTCAGAGCTATAATGAGGCTTTTCTATGTCTACCACTTCCCACATAGTCACACTGCTGAACTCGCCCTTTTCTAAAAGTAAAGACTTTACATCAACATGATTATTAGAATGAAAAACAATCATATCTTTCATTTTCTCACTAACACATCCATACCCCTTTTCTGAGAGGAGGAAAGACGGGTAAGTTATAGTAGAAGGAGCTTAGGTTCTAATCGAAATATAAATCTTGTGAGACCTTAAAAACATGCCATAGCAACTCTGGGCCTCATCAGCCTCTTTTGAAAAAGTTAAAGTGATCTCCAAGCTCAAATTTACTAGATTTTCCCCATTTTCTTTTTTTAATTTGTAAAACAAAATGTTTGCATATATTTATGGGGTACAATGTGATAATTTGGGATACATATACAAGATCCAATTTCTGTCTCTTCCAACATCATTTTTGTGTGTTGGGAACTTTCAAACTCTCAATAATTATTTTGAAATACATTATAAATTGTTGTTGACTCTAGTTACCCTACTTTGCACCAGATCTAATTCCTTTAACAATGTTTTATGTACCTCTTTACCTACTCACCTATTTCACTTTCTAACCTTTAACAATATTAAAAATGTTTATTTTTATCTTTTTTTTCTTTTTTGCTAGTACTGGGGGTACTAGCCTCATGGTTACTTGACTTTTGGCTAGTTATTTTGGCAACAGAGTCTCTCAGACTTTTCTGTGTAGTTTGACTTCAAACCCACAATCCTCCAGATCTCAGCCTCCTGCATAGCTTGGGTTACTTATGTGAGACACTAGCATATTACTTAACCTTTCAAAATAAGAAAATTGACTTGTTCAGAGACATAAAATTAATTGATAAAACAAGGTCCAGAACTTAGCTTACCTCCAGGCTATTGTCTTTTCCAGAAAAAAAAAACATTTACTGATTCTTTTCAAGGTACATTATTTAAATATTGGTTTTAAGATAAGAGCTAAATCAAAAAAAATACTCTGTAGTATTGGCAGTGGCAAAATAAACATGGGTAATTATGCATCCTAATTATATGTGGACAAATACCTCATAAGTTTATTCTTTGAGCTTTAATTTGTTGTTTTCTACATCTTTCTTAGCATATATTAGTTGTATAGGGGGATTTCATTATTTTAGTTCCATATTGAATATAATGTACCATGATCAATGTCACCCACTCACTCATTCTCCCTTATCTTCACCACCTTTGCAAAAACCATTTCAACAGGTTTCATTGTTCTAGCTGGTTATAACAGCCGATTTCCTACATTCTATAGTAAGTGAATTGGCTACTCCCACGTACATGAATCTGTCATTACTGATACCTTCTGTTTGAATTTATGTAAACATAGATGAAAAGCCAAACATTTTTAAATGTAGGCAGAGAGCTAAACTATTTAGTCCTTCAATTTCAGGAATCTTTCCTGAGAAACAAGGCAAACATGTACTTAGTCTATGTATATTTATTGAGCATTTTTATGTGGGCCAGTGATTCTGAAGTGTCCACACATTGGAATCATCTAAGTTTCTAAAACCACCTGTGTCCCAGACCTAGAGATTAACACTTAGTTGATTTGAAATGTGTCCTGGGTCTTGAACTTTTAAAAACATTCCTCAGGCTATATTTGTATGCAGTAAAGATTGGGACACCAGGCATTAGTGACTCACATCTGTAATCCTAGCTAGTCAGGAGGCTAAGACAGCAGGATCACAGTTCAAAGCCAGCTTAGGCAGGAAAGGCTGTGAGACTTATATCTGCAATTAATACTAAAATGACAAAAATGGAGCTGTAGCTCAAGTGTTCAAGCACCAACCTTGAGCAAAAAAGCTAAGGGAGAATGCTCAGGTCCTGAGTTCAATCCCTAGTGCCAACAAGAAAGGGAAAAAAGATATTCATATGTGTGTGTGTGTGTGTGTGTGTGTGTGTGTGTGTGTGTGTGTACAGAGAGAGAAGGAAATGAAAAGGAAAAGGGGAAGGGGAAGGGGAAGAGAAAGGGAAAGGGAAAGGAAAAGGAAAAGGAAAGATTGGGCACCACTGCTGTAGGCCCAAATGCTGATTCTCAGGAACCCACTCTAACCCACTGTATTAGAATCTGTGTTTTAACAAGCTCCTCAGATGATTCCAATACATTACAGTTGGAAAGCACTAGTTCAAGTCCAAAAAAATCTTCTGCAAAATATTGGTCTCCATCTTCCAGAGAAAATGGGGCAGAGTATGACTGGGAAGGACAAGAACTAATAATAAGCAGAGGGAGAGGCTTTGAAATTCACAAGGAAATTTGCTTATTAGAGTTAGGAAATGGGCACATTCTAAAGATATGGGTATCACAGGCCCCCAAACATGACCTTTTATAACATCAAAGTCTGTGATCTCACTGGATCCCTAAATCTCCTAGCATCACTCAGTCATAATTTCACCAATATAATTTTCTGACAAGGGTCTAACACCTAATGAAGCGTAACTTCAGATAAAAACTAATAATTAACTGTCCTCTCAAATTGAATAATTTGAGATTCAAATTGTATAATTTGAATCTCAGACCTTCTGACCAAATTCCATTTCATAGGTGCTGGTAATTTTATTGATACAGGTGATTCAAATAAAAGTGGAAAGAATTGTGAAAATAAGACCCAGATCAGGCATTGTTTTTAAATGATTTCCTTCTCAGATTGGTAATGTTCATCAAAACATTCAGATATGCATTTTCACTCTTAAATAGCCTGAGAAAGAAATCAGAGATACATTGAAAGATATGGTTGCTACAGAACTGTTTATGTTTGTGGAAAATTAGAGACAATTGTAATTCCACAAGTATGGGAGCAGCTAAACTATGGCACAGATGTACTATGTAGTATTACACAGCCATGGAAATCATTGTAGTCTAAGATTAGGTAGCCTGGAAGGATATTTGCAATGTATTAAGTATGAAAAAAGATATATCAACCTGTGCATATTTTGATCAATTTTTGTATTAAAACAGAAAGTGCTTACATATTCTTTAGAATAAAAAAGTAAATTGGAAGTGGCACTATAGCTCAAGTGGTAGAGTGCTCACCTTGAACTGAAGAGCTGAGGGACAGCACCCAGGCCTAGAGTTCAAGCCCCATAACAGACAAAAAAAGAATAAAAAAGAAAAGACTGGAAAGGAATCAGGCAGAATGTTTGCAGTGACAAATGATTGCTGACTCCTCCAGTGACCAAACAGGATCATATTCCTTTGCTCTGGTAGAAGCCAGCCTTACCTTGTACATCAGGACTGGGTAAGACTTCTGCTTCCTGAAAGTTCCCCAACTAACCTCTTCAACCTCCTATACCACCAAAATTCCTTGAATCTCCTACACATTTCCATTGGGTTTTCTCATGAAAATGCCCCTGTTATGACTTAAAAGTTTCTTGGGCAAGAAAGGTGCATCTACTTCATCAATCATGATCACTTTCATAAAGACTGGTTTCTCAGTTTGTTCTAACAGAATCAGGACAGGAACATTCTCATGAGAAATGGCAATATCCAGAAATGACTAGGGGACTGGCATGCCATCATGGAAAGAAAGAAGAGTAGGTGAGCATAGAGTGATCAGAAATCACATTGAAGTGTAGAATGAGGAAAGTGGAAGATATTGCTGAGTAGGTCCCATTGAAGATAAACTTGGCCTCTTTCAATGTTTTCAAGTGCCAGCCATGTCTGACTCACTAATGGCTTTTGTTGTTTGTACATCTTTTCAGTCTAGCAAATTCAGCACATGGAGAAGAGAGAGGTGGTGGTTCTAGAGGACTCTCCAAAAGCCTGGGAGGACTTTGAACCTATTAATCCAATGCCATCTTGGACTCAGTTTTATGTCAGTTAGAGCCTCAACCAACATTAAGGTAGTGAGTAAAATTTAACAAGTGAGCTCAGATCCCATTCTAGAGGTGACAATTGAATATGGAGAAGTCCTTGTACACTCAGTGACCTGATCCTCCTTATTTGAACAGTGTTAGCACATATCCCTTAATTGCCTAACATCACCAAGAACTGTCCTGCCAAGTAATTAGTTTTTTTTTTTAAGACAAAAGTAGAAAGGAAGCTTGATTCTAGAATAATCCGCAAATTGAGTAATCCAACCTGGAATTGTCAGGAGAACATGATGTTTTTGTTCTTCCAGTGCCAAATGGTGGGAGGGGGAAACTAATCAAGTCAGCAAGAGACATACAATAGCAATTTGATTATAACTTCTAGTCCAACTGTGTGTGATTGGCTGACAGTGAGTCTCCCCAATTAGAGTCACAGATCCAAAACACACAGCACTCCAGCAGTTTCATCCTCAACCATTGAGATATTCTTACCAATGGTTTCTGCGCATACTCAAAGTGTTCAGGGAGTCTAAGGTTTCTGTCTCTAGTTCTTGACACAGTGCACACTTTAAATACACAGCTGAAGAGGGCGCTGATTGCAAAGGTAGCAAAGCAAAACTTAATGTATTGTTAATCACAGCAAGGAAACTTTTGGTTGGGGGCTGAGGAAAAGGAAGGGTGGAGTAGAATGAAGTAGTAAGACACTGGTACTTTTATTAAGCCAGGAAGCTGAAATCCAAGTTTAGTTTACACATTAAATGATCCCTAGTTGAGGGATTTGACCAATTTTTTGTGTCTCCCAAGCATTCATTTTGGCATAGCATACATATGACTAATCTGACATCTAGGTTTTGGCACTGGTTTTGATCCGGTATTATCATTTCCCTTACAAACAAATCAAAGAGCATTCAGAAATGTCAAGGCAATTTGGATAGATTCAATGGGCAAGTATATGCACATAAATGAGTGTCATGAATGTTTTCTAAGTATACCTAAAAGATGTCAGAAAAGTTAACCAAAGCCCTCTTTCAACCCATTCCCTGGGCCTCTCTTGGCAACAACTGGGCTGGAGAGAGCATGAACCTGACACAGTGTTCCCTTAAGCAACTAAGGAGTTTGTATCTGTCTACATTCTTCCTCATCATGAATGGCTACTTCTCAGCAGCGATAGTAGGGAGATTTAGTTTAATGTAGTCTGCACAGCTATGGGTTTTCTCATTATGTGAGTTTCAATGAGAAGTTATACATCTATTTGTGATTTGGTGGCTGTTGCAAAGGCAACCTGAGTTGACCTTATAAGGATAGGATTTTAGGGTGAGTGTGGTGGCACAGGCTTGTACTGTAACCCATGCCATTTGGTACTGGAAGAATAACATTTTGAGGATAGCCCTGGAAAAAAATTAGCAATATTGCATCTCAAAAAAATGAGCAGGGTGTGGTGGGCAAAACTGCAATCCCAGCTATGATGGGGATCATAATTTAAGGCTAGACCCAAGACAAATGCTCAGAAAAATGACTGAAACCAAGAAAAGTGGCTGATGGTGTAGCCCAAGATGTACAATGCTGCCTAACTAGAATGAGGACCTGAATTCAAACCGTAGTACTACAAAAGAATGGAACTTCTATTTCTGTAAGAATGTTCTTGTTGGTTATGCCCTTGTGATAAGTAGAAGGTGTTATGAACAATGAGATAGTTAATTACAGAAGTTCACTTCTATTTTTTGGAAATCATTCCAAAATTCTACTTGTTACCTAACTTCAGAAGAACTTCCAAGCCCAAACTTTGACAGCAAAGGCTACTTTTGTGGAGAAGAAACGATGCCTGTGTATGAGTCTGTTTTCATGGAGGATGGAGAGACAACCAGAAAAATAGCACTGGAGACCGAGAGACCACCTCAGGTAGAGGTCCACGTTTGGACTATTCGGAAGGGTGAGCAAGACATTACTTTTTTATCTTTTATCTTTGTATGGAGGAGAAGACTCAGCTTAATTTGGTTTTAACGTGTACCTGTGTTTAGGTCAGAACTTCTCCTTTTTACTGAGAAACTGATACATGTCTTATAGAGTTGTTATTATGGCCTTGCAAATTAAACATGACTATTTTTATTAAACACGTCTCAGTTAAGTATTAACCTTTGGGGTTCTAGAAATTGTCTTTTCACACCACCAAAAAGTGGAAGAGGTGTTCTTAACCCTGGGGGGATATCACAATTATCTGTGTGATTTTTTTATTGTTCGGGGATTTCTGCTTGTTTGTTTCTTTAATACCAAATGTCTGGGCTTTACACCTAGTCTGGTTAATTGGTCTGAGCAGAGCATTGGTCTAAGCAGAGCCTGGCCATAATTGTATATTGGTAAAGCTCCACAGATTCAACAAGTTTACAAACTATAGAATGGTATACTATTTTTCTTATATTTCTAACTTAAAGCTTGATAAGCAGGTAAACTTCATTCATTTGGAATGAAGCTAAGGACTAGAATAATGCTATGGACTCTGGGATATAAAAACTAAAAACCTCATCCTTGTCTTCAAGATTATCGTTTTATTGGAGAAACAATCCATGTCATGATGCACAACACTTTTTCTAACCAATTGATTCTATGTATTTTCACACACCCCTGTATGTACAAGAGTAGTGTTAATTAGTCTAGTCAAGTTTTCTAGGAATCCAAACATAAAGGTGAGATTTTACTTGGACATAACACACATTTTTCTAGTGACTCCCACAAAAGGCTCCAGATGCTCAAACTTCCATGTGTTTCACCCTTTACAGGCAGTTACCTGTCCCTAAGCCAAAGATTTGAATTCAGTAAAAATTTGGTAGGATATAAATACTTACATATTTAAGTTGTAGCCAGCTGAAACTAACAGAGGTAGTACTTGGACTATACTTTCATAAATAATGCTGCAGAATTGCTAAGGCTTTTCTCTCTCTCTTACCCATTAACCCCTCTTTCTGTAAAGAATATGTTCCTCCATACCTCTTAAAAATTTGGAATGTACATATATTTTTTTTACCCATGGTTGTTGGCTTTCTATCTAGGCATGTTTGTTTTCCATCTGTAACCTCATAGCTCATCTGCGACTGGTCCTATGACTCAACACTGGTCTGATGCTTCCCAAGTTGTGAGCCTAGTATTCCTTACCCCTCACCCCAGAGGTGACTTGTTAGTGGAGCATCTAAATAGCTTCCTTGTCAACATTTGCAGGGTCATCAAGGTCTGTGCATAGTGGGGTTAAAGGGGCTGATAGCATATTGCTTCTTAAGTACTGGACAATTTTCAGTTGTTTACCTTTTATTCTAATTAAAACTACACAGGCAAGGTTGAGACTGTGTAGACCATTCTATTTTAACTCTCCCCATTCTTTTCTTTTTTAAAAATTTTTATTGTGAAAATACCATACAGGGTTACAATTACATGGGCAAGGTAATGAGTACATTTCTTATCAAGCATTGCTGCCTCCTCCTTTGTTTCCCCTTCCCATCCCTTCCCATCTCTCCCTCCTCCCCCTGCCCCACCCGGCCAAAGTTGTACAGTTCGTTTTTCAACATAACAACTTGTACATCTCACTGTTCCAATGGGTCCACCTGTATCCCTATTTAAACAATTTGTTTTTGCCCTTCCCCTCCACAAATTATACCAACATCAAATACAATGAAAGCAGGGGTTATACCATGAGGGAGAGACATACAAAGCAACAAAGAACTCATCTTATAAATATGTTAGAAACAATCACAAGAAAGAAAACAATTGAATGCTTATCTTAAGGCTTGGAAAAAAATACATTGAGTGAAGTAAACGAGGCCCAAAGAAACCCATAGGTTCCATGGTTTCCCTTATTTGCAATAACTAGTATATGTCTGAGACAAGCAGAAAAGGTCAGATAAGTTGATGTTCAGTGAAATGAATCCCCATTATTTTCAATAAGAGAAATCTAAAGGACCTGTGAATATTTCATGAAGATAATATACTCTTCAGTGAGTTTAGTAACTGGGGTAGCTTCTACCTTACACAAATCATGTGCCTCTGGTCCTACTGCTAACATCCTTGTTTAGCCAACAGGCAGCCCAGTGGTTTGGCAGGGATGTAATCTATGAAGATTTTGGGCAAAGACAGGGTTCCTACTAATACTGCCTGTGGCTACAGAAGCTCCAACCAGCACCCATGCTTGATTCCATGTGGTTTTCCCTAAGAGAGAATCCCGTGGCCCACAGTACTATCTCCCTTATCTCAATTCCCTGGAGAAGCTAAGGGGAGGTCAGTGAGCCAAGGAAACAAATGGAGTCAATTAAAACCCTGGAGTTCCTGGTTAAATACATTATACAACCCAGCTCAATACTCCTAAGCCCCAGTAATGACATGATATGTCCAGCCCAAGCAATAAAAGGAGTTGGTGGTTCCAGAAAGAGATGGAGTGTGCCTGATCTCCTGCCCTACTTTCTGCTTGGCCCCAGGCATCCTCCAGCACTTCCACATTGAGAAGATATCCAAGAGGATGTTTGAGGAATTTCATCACTTCAAGTTGGTAACCAGAACAACTCTGAGTAAGTGGTACCTCTTTTTACTGCTCCTTGGAAAAATATGTCTTGTTTTTCAATATATCATAGCCATAACTGAAGTCAATCTACATTAGCAATGTTCAATATAAACATCACATTACAGGATATTCTACTCTCCTCTAGGGGAATTAGCAGTAAATAGGTGGTTGAATTTGAACTGAAAAGCCTGAGCATGATGAATACAAACCCAGACATTGTCCAAGCATTACCTATCTCTAGTCAAGGATTTCTGAGTGTCTTTTTTTAAAGTATTTTTTATTGTGAAAATACTGTACAGAGGGGTTATAATTACATGGGCAAGATAATGAGTACATTTCTTATCAAGCATTGTAGCCTCCTCCTTTGTTTCCCCTTCCCATACCTTCCCATCCCCCCTACCCCCCACCCAATCCTCCCCGCCCCCCACCCATACTGCACCAACCACTAGTACATCTCATTGTTGCAATGGGTCCACCTGTATCCCAATTTAAACCATTTGTTTTTCCCCTTCCCCTCCACAAATTAGACCAATATCAAATACAGTGAAAGCAGGGGTTATACTGTGGGGGAGGGACATACAAAGCAACAAAGAAATAATCTTATAAATGTGTTAGAAACAATCGCTTGAAAGAAAAAAAACATTTGAATACATATCTTAGGGTTCATTTCCTTAACATCATCTTATCTGACCTTTTCTGCTTGACTCAAACAAATACTAGATATTGCAAATAAGGGAAACCATGGGAACTATGTTTTCTTTAGGCCTGGCTTACTTCACTTAATATAATTTTTTCCAAGTTTTTCCATTTCCTAACAAATGGGGCAATGTCATTCTTTCTGATGGAGGCATAGAATTCCATTGTGTATACATACCACATTTTCTTGATCCATTCATCTACTGAGGGGCATCTGGGTTGGTTCCATATCTTAGCTATAGTAAATAATGCTGCAATAAACAGTTGTGCTGGTAGCTTTAGTGTGGTCTTGTTTATAAACATTTGGGTAAATGCCCCAAAGTGGGTACTTCTCTGAAGAGGAAAGAAGGATGGCCAATAGACACATGAAGAAATACTCAACCTCCCTAGCCATAAAAGAAATGCAAATCAAAACAACATTGAGATACCACCTCACTCCAGTTAGAATGGCTAAAATCAAGAACTCTAATAACAACAGATGCTGGAGGGGATGTGGACAGAAGGGAACCTTACAGCATTGTTGGTGGGAGTGTAAACTTGTTCAACCACTTTGGAAAGTAGTATGGAGGTTCCTCAAAAGACTCCACATAGAGCTCCCCTCTGAGTGTCTTTTACGAAACTACTAAGCCAAGTAACAGGAGGGTTTGAAGAAAGCTTCACAGGATTCCAAGTATAATCGTGGAGACTTACTATCTGGAAGGCCACGGGTTCTGATGGTGGGAATGAAATTCAGAGAGCAAAGGCACATTTATCAGTTCCTGTGTTGAACTATCCCCCCACCACTCCCAGTGGTCATGTTTTTGTTTTTTTATCTTCAAAGTTCTCAAGCATTCACTCATAGCTGCAACTCTCCCACTTTCTACGCTAGATGGAGCCTAGGGACTAGATACTGCGGGGCACTGAGATGGCAGTGATGGTAGGGGTGGGGAATTACTTTTAATGAAACAAAAAAGCACAAATTTTCTATCCGCAGGGAATTCTAATGGGCGAGACAGAACATGAAAATGCCTTTGGTATGAATTAGTATACTTTTGGAGGACTTAAATACCTAAAGTGCTCAGAGGAATCTGCAAAGAACAATGAGTTAAGAGCCAGGTGGGCTTAGTCGGGGAAGGCTTCGGGGAGGAGGTGCGTTTTGAAAGAGAAGGGTGTGACTGGGCACCAGGTCAAAAACTCAGTCCAGGAAAAGGGTGCAGCCTAAGAGAAGACTCAGACAGGAGCAAACAAGAAATGTAGGTGTGGGTGCGGAATGATCACAAAGCCTGCATAGGGTGCACTGAAAAGAAGAGTTGGTAGCAAGTAGTCAAAAGGACCAAAAGAAGCCAGTGAAAAGTTCACATCATTTAGATAACACTGGGAGTTGCTCAAAAATTACAAACAACATCCCAACAACACAAGGGTGCTTTGGAAAGATGTCTCTGGGCTTTTTGTTTTGTGCTAGCCCTGGGGCTTAAACTCAGGGCCTAGGTGCTGATTTTCCCTGAGTTTTTTTTGTTCAAGACCAGTGCTCTGTCACTGAGCCACAGTTCCACTTCCAGCTTCTGGTGGTTAATTGGAGTCTTATGGACTTTCTTGCTTTGAATCACAATCCTCAGATCTCAGCCTCCTGAATAACTAGGATTGTAGGCATGAGATAATGGCACCTGGAGTCTGGGCTATTGAATAGATTTATTCAGCAACTGTTTTGATGCAGCCAGCTTATGAATAATCTAGTTTGCTAAACTAAGAAATTGGATATGATCACCAGGCCAGAAAATCACAGGGGAAAATTTCAAGCAGGTGAATGGTATATTCAGATTTTAAGAGGAGGTGCTTGCGAGGGGGAGGGATAGAGTGGTGGGATATTAGCAATAGTATGAACTAGGATGTTACTATGCTATACTAAATTAATGAGAAACTAGAAAAAGTCACTGTGTGACTGGTAAAATCAGCAAAAAGGATGTTGAGAGAAATGAGTCTGAAATGATTAGGTGAGTAAGAACACCATTTATCAGTGGGAAACTGAAGATCAAGCAGGTATTAGAAAAAAAACAAAAGAACTTCACCTGGACTGTTGTTTAGATTATGATGCCTGAGGGCCATCTGAGAAGAATTAATGAATAGACACCTAGAAATAGAGTGGATGAGGTCAATTATTTGTCTTCCACAGGACGGATAGAAAATAAAATATACACTATGAAAACTACAAGGTGTTAAGAGTCCTTACACGTGAGCTAATGAGGGCCTGGGATTAAAGGAAGTAGACTCTAGGACTCCAGGGTCAATGATGTAACTAATGAAATTATTATTACCCTCGAAAATATATTGTAGCTCATTCCATGAGCAAGTCATCATGTCAGGCTTCAGAGGACCTGAAAGATGATTTAGACATACTCTATACCCATAGAAGTTAGGATTTGGAACGTACAGTGGAAGTAGGTACTGTGTACTTTACACTCTGCAGCCAGAGGAAGTAAAAAAGGAGAGATCCAGTGGGGTAACCTGGATGGACCAATGTGCTAACCCACACCATCATGTGGGGCCCCTACAAGATCAGATAGTGCTCCAGTAATATTAAGTAATATAATATATTAAGTAATATATTATAATATATTAAGTAATCATATACAGTGCCCTTTTTGACCTGATGTCAAGTGAGCCACCTAAATAGCAAACAAAAATGCTTAGGTGTGACTCTTAAGAAGCCATGTGTTATTCTTGAGATTCTTATCAATGCCAAGTTTTGAAGTGTAAACTTCATCTGCTCCCAGCAATGTGTTTCAGAAGCTATTTCACTGAAACCACCTGGCATTGGTATTTCTAACCCTATGTTGGGTCCATGAATAAGCGGGAAAGGATGAAGTGCATTGATTCTGTTCCTAATTTACTCTGCTCTCCTCTTACACTCTGTTGGCCATTTTGTTTTTGCCTTGTAGGCCAATGGAAGATCTTCACTGAAGGAGAATCTCAGATCAGCCAGATGTGTTCAAGTCGTGTGTGCCGAACAGAGCTGGAAGATTTGGTCAAAGTTTTGTACCTAGAGAGGTCTGAAAAGGGCCATTGTTAAGCAAGACTGACAAGATTGGATAGTGTTAAGCAAGAAAACTCAAGCTGCAGCTGGACTGCCAGCTTATTTTGCTTAAGTCAACAGTGCCCTAAAACCCCAAACACAAATGCAGTCAATTATTCACGCCATGCACAGTGTAATTTGCTCCTCTATGTGTAGTGGTGTGTCAGTCCTTAGACATCTCCTCTAAAGAGACTAGAAGACTCATGAATGATTTATGGGAAGAGGAGGTATAGAATACCACAATGTACCTCTAGTTTACTGGAGAATCACATTTATTTTCAGGTTAAAGAGAAAAAAAATTGTATCTAGACAGTTACTCGATGAAAAGAGAAAGGAATTACTTAATAAGAGTTTGGAGTACAGAGAAATTAATTGGGTCTGAATGTTAGTGTGTCTTTTGTTCTATAAAAAGGAAGGAAAACTAACTCTGGGGCTGCGGACACTTTTCAGTAGTAGAGCACTACATAGCATGCTTGAAGCCCTGGTCTCCATATCCAGCACTGCAGAAAACATTAAGCCCCCATCCCCAGACACAGACATCATACCCACACACATGCACACATGAAACTACTGCCTGTATTTTGGTGTTATTTAGCTCCCAAGGTTGTTGGTAGCCAGGAAAATACAGAATCAGAGGCTTTTCCTTTAAGCCTTTGAGGTGGGTGTTGTAGTCACTAAATATAATGGCAGAGTGAAGAATAGGCATATCATTTTGTAACCTTATTCACTTGGAAATGATAAACAAATTTTCCCTAATCATCCCCTTTCTCTTGTGTCTTGATACTTGTGGTAACTCCATACGGATGTTAGAAATGAGTAAAGTACAAAGTAACTTGAAGACAGGAAATAATAAAAGTCAATCAGGCTATGGTTTTGTTATCACAGCAAAAAACTTACCAATTAGTAGATGGACACTCACTAGTTTTCTTGAGGATACATTTGTATAGCCAGTACATTGAATTATTAAATCTAGAAGCTCCTTTAAAGGACAGTTTTCCTCCTCCATATATAGGAGTTGATTTTCTGTTTGTTTGTTCGGGGAGGGGGGTGTATTGCTTTGCAAAGAAACTTAGTCTTGATGAGCTTCTGAATGTTGGCTGAAGAGCTAAGAGTTATTGTCCATTTAAGAAGGAGAGAATTGTGATAAAGATTTTTCTCTAAACCTTACTTCCAACCTTGCATTCTGCACCAACCATGGATTTGAATTGGAGATCCTAGTGAAGGCTTTTCTTGTAATGTCTTTTACAGTCCAAATACCACAGCATAAATGACCTACTCTGAGGCCTGGCTTTAGAAATCATTTTTGTGTGAAACAGTAAATTCCTTTTTATTTAATTTTATTGTAAAAGTTATGTACAGAGGGATTAGAGTTACATAAGTCAGGGAATGAGTACATTTCTTTTTGAACAGTGTCACCCCCTCCTTCAAACAATAAATTCTTTAGAGCAAAAGTAATTAAGCCTGTCTCCTGGATTTGTCCCCTATGAAGGACATGAATGAACTCTAGTGAATATTTAGATGTATTAAGAAGTCAGAAATATCATATTTCCCACTCCAAGACCACCAGTATGATAACATGTTTTTCTGTAGTGTATTTGACATGAATTGGGAGAAATGTAAGAAATCCAGCCATTACAGCCACAGTTTCCATTAAAGAGACATAGGGGCCTTGTTACCAGAACAAGCCTCTCACTGGCTCATCACACACATTCTCCTCAGGAGAGGAAAATAGGACATCCTGGGCTGTAAAGATACAGAGAAGTATTGTAGGGGAGAAGGTTACATGGCCTCCCTATCAAAGTTGTTAGTATTGCTGTAGTGTGGAGACCAGCAAGCAGATCCCTGAATCAAAGTGGTGATTCCCCTTTTGGATGATTCATCCCAAATCCTTCCCACCCAGGTGCTCTCTGAAAGCTCAGCCTTAAGGGAACACCCAGAGAACTTCCTTAGATAGCAGATAGCCTCTGTCTCTAGGTGCTGGGACATGCCTTTCCAAAGTGCTGTGAAAGCAGGAACCAGGGAACTTAGTAAAGTCAATGTAGAAACGCTCCAGTATTCGGTGTTGTGTCAGGAGTAGGATATAGCAAAAAGAGGCTAATCCACCTGTAGTTAGTAGAGACGAATGGATATGGTTTTTCTTGTGTATTTATTTGTATCACAAACACAGTTGAGACAACAAGACCATAGCACCATTTCACAGTTTTAGCCACTTTCTACTTAGCTCATATAAAAAAGTAAGAGTAACATATAACAGTATTACACTTTCACTGTTCTTACTGGACATGTACCAGTCAATGGTACTTATTTATGTAGTCACTGTGTTTCTGGATCTCTAAATTAATAAAATTGTAATTTTGAAAACTCTGTCTTAAGCAAGTCATATATGAGTGCTTGAATCTCTCTCTGTTCCATAATGGCACATGGGAAGGACCTCTCACACTATAGCATAGTGCTTCACATTCCCTGGATTTTCAAGCTAGCTCTTATCCTAAGAACTATGTTTGTCTATCTCTCTAACTATAAAATGGGATGATCATGGTACTATTGCCTTTGGCTTCAATTTTGCAGGAAAGTTTAATTTTGTCAACACCTATAAAGTCATTAGAATAGTGTCTGGTACATAGTTAGAATCAATATGGACAGCTAGGCACTGAAATTCACCACTGGTTTCTAGCCTCCTTTTAGTGTATTGATAGTTTTCAACAGGACCACCATTTTTATCTTTTGTTTACAAATTCTTTTTTAGTTGTTTTTTATTTTGAAATTACTGTACAAAGGAAGGGTTACAGTTACATGAGCAAGGTAATGAGTATGTTTCTTATCAAGCATTGTTGCCTCCTCCTTTGTTTTTCCCCTACCATCCCTTCCCTCTCACCTCCTCAACTACACCCTCCCCCCCCACCTAAATTGTAAAGTTCGTTTTTCGACATAGCGTCTTGTACATCTCATTGTTGCAATGGGTCCACCTGTATCTCTATTTAAACAAATTATGTTTTCCCTTCCCCTCCCCAAATTATACCAACATCAGATACAGTGAAAACAGGGGTTATGCCATGGGCAGGGACATACAAAGCAACAAAAAAATCACATGGTACGTTATAAATATGTTAGAAACAATAGCAAGGAAGAAAAACACCACTTGTGTCCTTATCTTGGGGTTCATTTTGCTTAACATCATCTAATCTGACCTTTTCTGCTTGTCCCAGGCAAATTCTTAAGCAAGAATTTGTATAGATTGTAGGGTTGTGTATAAAATAAGAGTTTTGTCATGCATGTTGATCCAGACAAATCTTTTAAACCTGCAATAACAATCTAAATGTGTGCTATTACAGAAGTCAAAATATGAAAGGGCTTCAAGAGAGTAATCAAATGTTTCAAGTTAGATGTCAAATGATGTAAAGTCAGAAAAGCATTCATTGGAGTTGGCAACATGGAAGAATAGCAGTATGTGACCAGACCAGTGGATTGTAAAGAGACAGAGAGAGAGAGAGAGAGAGAGAGAGAGAGAGAGAGAGAGTAGCAGTTCAAGACAACTTACTAGAGAAGCTCCTGCAGAATGCAGAGATATAGTGAAGGCAGTAGCTCATGTCCATCCACTGCCTCTACCTCCACACATCTCTTGACAATCACTAACGCTGCCAGCTGTTGTATTTCTGGTGGAGTTCATTGCACTAGTCCAAAAGTATTATCATAGTAATGGCACTTGAAATCAATCCTCTGTGTTCTCTAGACACAGTGTCCTGTGCACAAGTAGAGAGAATGATCTTCTACCTTTTCACTGGGTTGTTACTTTGTCACCTTAAATTAAAACATTCACATTAGCTAGGTACCAGTGGCTCATACCTGTAATCCTAGCTACCCAGGAAACTGAGATCTGAGTATCAAATTCCAAAACCAGCCCAGGGAAAGAAAGTCTGTGAGAGTCTTATCTCCAATTAACTCTGGGGGAAAAAAGCTAAAAGTGTAGCTATGGCTCAAGTGGTAAAGTGCTAGAGCAAAACAGCTCAGGGACAGCACCCAAGCTTATTGAGTGTATTATATGTGCACAAAAAGAAAATCTTGTGTCCCAGTATATCACAGAGGGTTCCCTAAGAACGAATCCTCTAGGTTCCACTTTCAGCCCTTTTATGAAGCCTAAAGTCTCAGTGTGCAGAATACTAGCCTCCAAGACACAGATAAAATGTCCTCCAACCAATGGAATAGAACTGAAGAACCAGAAATGAACCCACAGACTCATAGTCATCTAATCTTCGATAAGGGAGCTAAAAAAATAGAATGGGAAGAAAGACAGCCTCTTCAGTAAATGGTGCTGGCAAAATTGGTTAACTACATGTAGAAAACTAAAGCTAGATCCTTATATATCACCCTGCACCAGAA